CGTTGGGCACTGCTCGCCTCCTAAGGCAGTAGATGAGAAGATCGATGCCTGGCAGACCCCAAGTAAGCTGACAAAATGTTAGCAAACTGTTTGACCACTTAGATAGGAGGGACACCATAGCACTCCTGGCACCATAACTACTACAGAGTAACTGTGTATTTAATATAATAAGGGTAATTAATAAAAATAAGTGTATTAATATAATTTTATAATGCTACATATTTTTGGTAAATTATGTTGGAGATAGTTGTGGGTGCTTATCTAGATTTTCCAACTGTTCTTGTGTATGGTTTCAGAAAATATATGCCAGAATAGAGATACCATTGTATATAGTGTGACAGTGTGTTTGTCCATAGACAAAGTGTGTGAATCCAAATATAGACTTGTTTGTCGTGCAAGTGTGCATTAATACAGGGTCTTTTTATATAAAGCGTAAATGTGTCATCAATATGCAAATGTTAAGTGTTCACAAAAGCATTCTGAATAATTGGAATGAAATAATGACCATATACACCATGGATATTTAAATATTAGACTTAGTCCCGCTGTCCCAATTTAGTTCTCTGGTGTGTGCTTCAATAGCGCTCTATACGTGGTCCTGTATGTTGGGGGCTGACCAGTCCGTTAGCCTACCATGCTTGACACCAGGCTGACTCGCCCCTTCACTGGATGGTGCAACCACTTCCCAGGTCGGCCCACCCAATGTAGGTGTCATTAATAATGCAAGTTACTTTACTGGTCCAGATTCCAGAAGTACCAGTGTTTATAGGTATACTCTAGGGCAACATTTTTTCTCACTTACTGCCCATCAGAATGCAGCAAGAGCATATCATATGTTTTTGATCATATGGTGGGTCTGTCAACCCTATATAAAGATAATCAAAGCTGGAATTCAAAATGCTTCATATTTTTGCTTTTGGGGGTCTCCTCATCAAATCAACTACAGCTAATACTAATATTTATTCTTGTGTGCCCACCTCAAGATTATCCTCTTGATTCACTAAGGTGTAAATGTCTTTAAAAATTGTAAAAATAAATAGCCTATTATCCTCTAGATGATACCAATCTGCCTCTGAATAAATAAATCCTATATAGCTACGTAATGCAAATAAATCCTATATAGCTACGTAATGGCTCTGAAACTGGTCTGGTGTTAAGTCCTGAAGAATTTCTAAAGTTGGTTCAGGATTAACAAAACAAATGTTACTGCTGGCTACAAGTTTAAAAAGATTTATATATGGCTCTAAATAAATAAAACGATACAAGAACCTCTATCAATAAATGGCTAAATATTTGATGGTGTAAATGTAGATACAATAAGTAATAGAAGGGTTATTTACAAAGTGAATTTTGAGTCATTTAAATAAAAATTGTTTGGTCAGTTGACAAACATTTTTAGAATTCACCAAAGTAAGAATTCAAGGTGAATTTAAAATCCAAGGGCAAAGTAGTCAAACTGGAAGCATATCGGAATGTTTTGAATTCTCACCTTGAACTCTCACTTTAGTGAATAAGCCTCTGCACAAGACAAAATTTCCAAATTAGATTTTTTTTTGTTGTTGTTCTTAAAGTTAGGCTATTTTATTTTTAATTCTTCAAATCTGGTAGCTGCTTACCAGAGCTCACTATTAGGGTTATTTAGTAAATTCATAATTCTACCAAAAGTCAAGATTGCAGAATTGAAGTAACTGGGGAAAAAAAGTGTTTTAGAAAAACTCTCCGATTTAGCTATGGGCTTTTGAGACTCAAGTACACATTAGCTTCAAGAGAAAAAACTGAGCTGATGCCTGTTATCTCCATAATCGCCTCTTCTAATTCATCTGGCTCTTCATATGCATAGGCAAGAAGCTCCTGGACTAGAGGTAAAACATTATTTGCTTCTTGGTTGATTTACTAAGGTAACGTTATTGAATTTTACGTCATTGTGCTCACACTGGATTAAATACATTGGAAAGAAAACAAAAAAACACAAAAAACTTTTAACAACTATATATTGGTAACCTCGTCTCACACTAACAACAATGACAAATTATCAATCTCCTTACTTAAAATAGTTTCATGTACTCCTGGAAGTAGCTAATTGTTAGTTACAGATGTAAACTAAGCTGAGCCTCACACTATGAATCAATGATTCAGCTAGGTAAGAGGATATTATTTCTCTATTTGTTACTGATTGAACACAACAATACCCAAAATAATTATTTTCTTTCTACAAACACTCCTAAAATAAGGATTTGCTCCAGGCAGTTAACAAATAAAATGCCTTTTAACAATGTATATTAGAGCAATGACAAAATGGAAATTTCCTATCTACTACTCAAAGTTTTTAATTCCCCTGGGAAATAGCCAATAGCCACATACTACTGTAAACTAAGCCTAATCTCAGACTAGAATGACCCAGGCTATCTCCCATACAGGTACAGCAAAGGTAAAATACACAGTATCACTGCTGGTGTGTCCAGGGCTGCAATCAGAAATTTTGGGGCCCCTAACACTGCTCAAGGTCTGGGCCCCCCGGTGCCTGCATCCGAGTCCGCCCAAAGTGCTGCCCCCCCTCCCCTCTCCCCCGAGTCCGCCAACAGGGATACAGTGTCTGTACTGATTTTGGTGTGTATATAGTGGATGTAGAATGTATGTACTGGATGCAGAGTTCGTGTGTTAAGTGAATGCGGTGTGTGTTTAACGGATGCAGTGTGTATAGTGGATACAGATTGTACATTTGTGTAATGTATGAGGTGTATATTAGATGCAGAGTGTGTGTTTGTGTAGTGGATGTAGTGTGTGTTTTTAGTGAATGCAGAGTGTGTATGTGTGTTTGTGTAGTGGATGTAGTGTTTGTGTGTATTAAATGAGATGTGTATAGTGAATGCAGAGTGTGTGTAATGAATGTAGTGTTTAGTGAATATAGTGTGTGGATGCAGAGTGTGTGTTTGTGTAGTCAATGTAGTGTGTGTATAGTGACTACATAGTGTGTGTTTGTGTAAGTATTTAATGTGTGTATAGTGACTGCAGACTCTGTGTTTGTGTAGTGGATGTAGTGTGTGTAGTGACTGAAAAGTGTGTGTGTGTGTGTGTGTAAGTACTGCAGAGTGTGTGTTTGTGTTAGGAAGTAGTATGTGTAGTGACTGCAGAGTGTGTGTTGTGTAAGGATGTAGTGTGTGTAGCGACTGCAGTGTGTGTTTGTGTAGTGGATGTAGTGTGTGTAGTCACTGCAGAGTGTGTGTTTGTGTAGTGACTCCAGAGTGTGTGTTTGTGTAAGGATGTAGTGTGTGTACTGACTGCAGAGTGTTTGTGTAAGGATGTAGTGTGTGTAAATTTTAGTGAATAGTGTGTGTATATGTTAGTGTATAGTGTGTGTAAATGTATGGGGCTGCAAAATGTGGGGGGAAAAGCCTACAGTTTTTTTTTTCTTACATTTATAGTATTGTTTTATTCCCCCCTCCCTGTATCTCACCTGTGGCCATGGAAGGGGGAGATCAGATTGGCTGGAGCCCTGGAGCCGGAGGTCCTGAGGAATGATGCAGCCCCCGCTACCTGTATTCTGCAAGGGGTACAAGGACACTTGAAATATACTGCCCAGCTACTCTGCTCTGTAGAAGTCACGCGAGCCGTGCGGAGAGTTGCCATGGCAACGCTCCGACGGTCGCGTCGCTCGCGAGACTTCGACAGTAAGAATTCTGGGCAGTATATTTCAAGTGTGCTGGGCCCCCTGCAGAATACAGGTAGCGGGGGGCCCGCAGTGCACACATATATAGCGTTAATCTCTATATATGTGTGCACATAGCTAATGTGGGGCCCGGGATGACCTGAGCAGTCCGGGTCCCCCAGGACCGCCGGGCCCATGACAACCGTTATGGTTGTCATGCCCTGATGGCAGCCCTGGGTCTGTCTACTTAAATAGCTGCGGTCAAAGTGTCTGGAAAAATCCTGCTTGGAAGTGAATATTATTTTACTGCTCCTTCTATTTCTGTGTATTGGTCAGTTGTCACTTGATCAGTGAATAAAAGGGACATTTCCTGTCTGTCCCCTAGGCATAAATCACTTTTTAAAAATGTTTGCTATACCTTGATTGGATAGAAGATCCGATGTTGTTAACGCTGGCGAAAGCTGTCCTGGCATTGCCTTTCTACCATGTATCGTATGAGCACGATAAAATAAAGAATAAAAAAAAAAAAAAGAAGATCCAGCCCACATGACGTAGTCTCACATCATGGGAGACTAAGTTGCTTAATTGCCCCCACCAAAAAATAAATAAAATTAAGCCTCTTCCTGATTTTATCCTCTTTTTTTATTTCCTGGTACTGACACTGCGAATCTAGAACTGAACTGAGCATATTTAGGCTTGTGCGAGTCAGTTCCCCGGAGATTATAGAACGTGGTGGCTCAGAAACCAGAATTTTGGCCCATCACAATTTAGCCGATTGCAGTTTGGCCCAAAACTAATCTCTAAGTCTACTGATTGCATCGTAAGCTTACATTGGTAGCGCAAGCAAGTTTTAGTTGCAGTTGGTTTCCCTTTCAATGATTATTCTCTTCTACACAATTCAGCACTCAGGCTAAATCAGTATTACTAAAGCTATGTTAATTGGCCTTTATCATAAATTATTTAAATAATATTGCATTTAATACGGCCGAGAAAGCAAACAGACGGCATAAGGCAGCATGACCAAGAGACTCCATAATGCATGTAATTGTGCTGTTTCTAACTTCAATGTAGAAAGCGTAACCCAGTGGCAGGTTCAACAATTCTATTGCCTTGTCTTCTAACAAGAAAAATGCACAGTGGATTAACCTGCTAAATAAAAGCCTTTTCTCTCTCTAGCTCCGGAGGCTGGAGAATGTGTCTGACTGGAGCAATGGTAGTCTGTCTGGTTGCCACAGAGACAACGAAATAAGATTGAAATACCTGCTCTGATTCCTGAAGTGCCCCCTTGCGAAAGCAGATGCTTATCCTCCTAAGTGGTGATTATTCTACTTACTTACCATGTTCTATAAGTACTATTATATTCTTGCACTTTTTGGTTTCGATAAGTGGCTCAGTAAGCACCATTACTGAAAATCTAAGAACTCTGGAAGCACAATTACAGATTTCCTAGCAAAACCATTATCTTCACCTATTCTGTATAGACTCCAAGGCCTGCCAGAAGTTCATTATTCAAAAAATATTTTCTCTACTGTTGCATAGCTCAGGAATGAATGAGAATGTGAGGGGGGTAGAAATCGATGTTATATGAAACCTTTGGGGGTTTATTTATATTTACTAAATAAAAAAAACAACAAGTGGAAAAACAAAATACAAAATTTAGGTAAAAAATGTTTTTTGAGCTTACATTTTGCAATTTGGTATTCACTTCATTTCAGTGATTGATTGGTAAATAAACCTGTTTGGTTCAGTAACTGGCGTTTGTGTAAAGGAATGGTTATATACTAGAGGTGGGCAATATGTCTGCTGCTGGTGTGTAGGCGAAGCAGCCACAGGCCACAATCTGCACAGTAAAATATGAGCAAGGATGAACAGGCCTATTATTCACTGTTGCTGATGCTAGATTGAGTCAATGGTGCTGCTTAATATTTATTACACAGTGTGTATCATTATACAATGCCACTGTTGATAATAAGCAATCCTAATATAATATACAGTCCCTTTCGTAGAGTGTGTAGTGTGGTTACATGTATATATAATTTTGTATATTTATAAATCAATGCTTAGATACCACACTGAAAGGGACGCTATAGTCACCCAGACCACTTCAGCTCAATCGAGTGGTCTGGGTGCCAGGTCCCTCAGGTTTTAACCCTTCAGATGCAAACATAGCAGTTTCAGAGAAACTGCAATGTTTACATTGCAGGGTTAAGACAGCCTGTAGTGGCTGTCTTCTGGACAGCCACTAGAGGCGCATCTACGACACTGGAGGCATATTATGCCTCCATCACGCAGAGCTTCCATAGGAAAGCATTGATAAATGCTTTCCTATGGACACTTAGAATGCGCGCGCGGCACTGCCACGCATGTGCATTCGGCTCCGCCGACGTCAGGCGGGGGAGTTGACGTTGGCGGGGGAGGAGAGATCACCAGTGCCGAGGGAGCCCGGCGCTGGAATAAGGTAAGTAGCTGAAGGGGTTTTAACCCCTTCAGTGCCACGGGAGGGGGACCCTGAGGGTGGGGGCACCCTCAGGGCACTATAGTGCCAGGAAAACCACTATGTTTTCCTGACACTATAGTGATCCTTGAATACGCAGGGTTACCCATTAGGCGACAGGGGCCTGGTGGGTCTGTGTCTGTGCCTGGAGCTATGGCTCAGTCTGTAAGTCTCAGTCTATCGAGTGCAGATTAATTTAAAACCTTCCTCGGGGGCTAGGCACTTTTAAATGTCTCTGAGAATGCAGTCTGTGTGTCAAGTCACTGACTGAGCTCTGGGACTGCGAGGGAGCTCTTAAAATGATTTGCATCCAATAGAGGTGGAGACCACAATGCTCCCCACACTGGACCACCAGTAAATCAGCCCAGAGTGCCCTCTACTGAACCACAAGGGATTACACCACCTCCTGCTAAAAGGTAAGCTGGAGGGAGCCAAATGGAACAACAAAAACAAACATTAAGGCTTCTCTCCACACACCACACTAATCCATCACATGCAGCACAGCCTCTTTTACAAAAACACAAAACTCAGCTTATTCCAGACACAAAATTCAGCCATCACACTGAGTTATAATCAACAATCACACAGGCACACTCAGCCTCCTCAACACACAACACTCAGCCACCACACAAAGCCTTATCTACACACAATGCTCACACACCACACATAATACTCAGCCATACCCATTCACAGAACAGAGCCCAGGCCTCTCGGGATGAAAGCCCAATCTGGCATTTTGCCTAGGCATCTGACAATCTTAATTTGACTCTCATAAAGTTCTGTTTTTGACACTGTTTTATTAAGATATTATGACTCCAGAAAGAGTACAGTGGAAGGCTACAAAATTAAAAAGGGAAATTGAAGATTTTAGTCATGACTAAAGGCTATAGATTATTGTCCAATAATAAAACAAAACAACAAATTCTTGGTACCAAAATTGCAACTTTGTTCTCATATAGTGAACACATAGGTTGTATATTCCTTAGCGGGCAAGTTTAATGGATGCAATGATGGTGGCTAATAGGTAACATAATTTACAAAACAATTCTTCTGCAGTGTGAACCCATGAGAACACAATTTTGTTACTATGGGCTTCATTATCTTAGCAGAGTAAGGTTTTACTCTGTTAACTCAATAGCATTTTCACCATTAAGATCTGAGAAAATTCCTATTCAGTAAGCAGTGTAAACCCTTACTATACCACCTATGAAGATTCAATGATGAAGTTTTATAAGATATGCATTACTTATTCCAAAATATTGATAGCTTTGCATTCCACGATTTCTCACATACACATTAATATTTTTTGTGTAATATTGCATTTTTACGTAACGTTATGAAAACCTCAGCTTCACAGAGGGGTGGCAAAATATAGGGAAAAAAGACTGGCAAAGAGGGTGACAGTGAAGTCAAACTTTGCCTAGGGTGTCACAACATCTAACAGCCCTCACTGTATTTGGAACTCTCTTTTTGGTAAAAGTAAGTTGGCTTGTTCGGCCATTATCAGGAAGGGATTACATGTTGCCAGGACACCATGGAATAGATGTTAAGGCACTCAAAGAATATATTTGAATCTGGAGAGGGGAAGTAAAAAGCAAACATGTTATGAGTTACTTAATTGGTGGGAAGAATTAGGGAATTGATTTGCATCACACTTATCTATGATGGAGGAGAATTACTCACCTTTGGATACAGATGTTTTAGAGTAGACGGTGCAACAAAGTGTTTTTCCTCACTGACAAGTGAATATCACTTACATTATAACATGATCACAGTAATATTTTGTTTCTGGGTTCATACTCTTATTTGAAACAATATATGGTATTAACCCACAAGTTGATAACATATTAAGACTACAACACCAGTGGGATACTCAGGGTCTTTGTCACACTGTCTACATGTAAGTTACTCACCAAATGACTGATAAATGTTGCATGAAGCATCTTGTAGAAAACACTATAACAAAGTATTCATAAACAATGTATGGTCAAATATTGCATGAGAAGAAATTAAACCACGTTCTGAACCTCACATAGACATTACTATTCAGGATGATAACATCACTGAGATTTTTTTCCCCCAGCTGTTCTTCAGGAAGATATTTTAACTCGGTAGACACCTGGAAGATGATCACTTGAAACAGCAATCCAGGTATTCTGATCTGATATAGATAGTCGTATTGGTAAGTCTGTGAAGACTAACCAAAGTTGTGCTCAAATTATTCTTTTTGTACTTTTCATACGTCTATTGGAGTAGCCACATAATGCATATACTAGGCACTAGGAGACAAAGAAACATAGAACATAGAATGTGACAGCAGATAAGAACCATTCGTCCCATCTAGTCTGCCCAATTTTTTAAATACTTTCATTAGTCCCTGGCCTTATCTTATACTTAAGATAGCCTTATGCATATCCCATGGATGCTTAAACTAATTTACTGTGTTAACTTCTACCACTTCATCTGGAAGGCTATTCCATGCATCTACTACCCTCTCTGTAAAGTAATACTTCCGAAAAATATTTTTAAACCTTTGCCTCTCTAATTTAATGTCCTCTTGTTGTGGTAGTTTTTCTTCTTTTAAATATAGTCTCCTCCTTTACTGTGTTGATTCCCTTTATGTATTTAAATGTTTCTATCATATCCCCCCTGTCTTGTCTTTCCTCCAAGCTATATATGTTAAGATCCTTTTACCTTTCCTTGTAAGTTTTATCCTGCAACCCATGAACCAGTTTAGTAGTCCTTCTCTAAACTCTCTCTCTAAAGTATCAATATCCTTCTGGAGATACGGTCTCCAGTACTGCGTACAATACTGTGAGGTCTCACCAGTGTTCTGTACAGTGGCATGAACACTTCCCTCTTTCTACTGCTAATACCTCTCCCTATACAACCAATCATTATGCTAGCATTTCCTGCTGCTCTATTACATTGTCTGCCTACCTTTAAGTCATCAGAAATAATTACCCCTAAGTCCCTTTCCTCAGATGTTGAGGTTAGGACTCTATCAAATATTCTGTACTCTGCCCTTGGGTTTTTATGTCCAAGATGCATTATCTTGCACTTATCCACATTAAATGTCAGTTGCCACAACTCTGACCATTTTTCTAGTTTACCTTAGTCATTTGCCATTTGGCTTATCCCTCCTGGAACATCAACCCTGTTACATATCTTAGTATCATCAGCAAAAAGACATACCTTACCATCAAGACCTTCTGCAATATCACTATTAAGAGAATGGCTCCAAGTACAGATCCCTGTGGTACCCCACTGGTGACAAGCCCATGCTTCGATTTACTCCATTGACTACAACCCTCTGTTGCCTTTCACTCAGCCACTGCCTTACCCATTCAACAATATTGGAATCCAAACTTAAAGATTGCAGTTTATTTATAAACCTTCTATGTGCAACAGTGTCAAAAGCCTTACTGAAATCTAGGTAAGCAATGTCTACTGCACCATCCTGATCTATTATTTTAGTTACCCAATCAAAAAAAAAATCAATAAGATTAATTTGGCATGATCTCCCTGAAGTAAACCCATGTTGTCTCTGATCTTGAAATCCATGTGTTTTTAGATGTTCAACAATCCGATCCTTTAACATGGTTTCCATTACTTTCCCCACTACTGAAGTAAGGCTTACTGGCCTAAGGTTGCCTGACTCCTCCCTACTACCTTTCTTGTGAATGGGTACAACATTCGCTAACTTCCAATCTTCTGGGACTACTTCTGTTAACAATGATTGGTTAAATAAATCTGTGAATGGTTTTGCTAGTACACCACTAAGCTCTTTTAATAACTTTGGGTGTATTCCATCAGGTCCCATTGAAAAAATTCACATCATATAGTGTGAAGTTTATAGGATTTCCACAACAACAGATTTGCAGAAAATTTCACAAACATTTGGACTTCCTTTGAATATCACTTTACAGAGCAGTTCTACACATCCTAAGTGATGAAAAGTCCTGCTCTTGGGGATACATTATTCCTCCTATAAAACTCTGTGTAAGGACTCATGTATCAAGTATCTCTATCTGATGAGGGAGAAATCTGCCCACTATCAGTCCATTGA